CATTAGCGTGGCAAAGACAACCCACTCCCAAATAGGATTATAACCACAGGTACAGAGGCTAGGATTTACAACACATACTTGGTAGGACTCAATGCCATCCATAATAGGAAATGACTACTTAGTGACTGCTTTGGAGATGATGAAAATCTCCTGGAACTTAGATTCTGGAGATGGTTTTGCAGCATTTTGAATGTTCTCAGAGCCACTCAGTGTACATTTTTAAATGATTAAAATGGTGAATTTTGCTATGTAAATTTTACAACTTAAAAAAATAAAAGGTTTCCAGAGACTTTGGATAGTGGCAGTGGTGTTACTGGTAGTATGCCCCTGGGAGGCTGTGGGTTTTCTCAGCCTCAGTAGGTCAAGAAATGCCAAGAGGTTGGGGTGTCAAATCTGGAGTGATGGGCAACACAGCCTCATGTTGCCACAGGCATGGAAATTGGTGTTTATCAAGAAATGTGCTCCCTCTCATTTATTCAGTTGGTGTTTGCCAGTAGTGCTGAAGGGGCTGGAGGGGTCAGCATGACCTCTGCCCTCTAGGAGCTAATGGGATGGTGATGATAGCACTGTCAGGCAAACACATGCTCTACCACAGCGTGGGCAGTGCTGACTTTGTACAGGGTGCGACAGGATACAGGGGTCAGGGTCTGTCTATAACAGAAATACAGGTTGTTATTAGGTGTATTCAGTTCTGACTCATATAAACAAAACAAAACACTGCCCAATTCTGACTCATGTAAACAAAACAAAACACTGCCCAGTTCTGCGCCATCCTCACAGTTTTTACTTTGTTTGACCCGTTGTTGTTGCTACTGTGTCGATCCATCTTGCTGGCAGTCTTCCTCTTTTTCAGTGACCCTGCACTTTACAAAGCATGATGTCCTTCTCTAGGGAATGATCCTTCTGTATATGTCCAAAGTACAGAGAGAAAGTCGTAAACGTTGTCACTTCTAATGAGCAATCTGGCTGTACTTCTTCCAAAACAGATTTGTTTGTTCTTCTGGCACTCTATAGTACTTTGAATAGTCTTCGCTAACACCATAATTCAAATGTATCAGTTCTCAAGTCTTCCTTATTCATTGTGCAGCTTTTGCATGCATATATGGTAAGTGAAAATACTATGGGGTTGGGTCAGGCGCACCTTAGTAATTAGTGTTACATCTTTCTTCTTGAACACTTTAAAGAGGTCTTGTGTAGCAGATTTGCCTAATGCAATACATCATTTGATTTCTTGACTGCTGCTTCTATGAGCATTGATTGTGGATCCAAGAATGAAATCTTTACAACTTCCATATTTTCTCCATTTATAATGATGAAAGTTGAAGTGCAGTCTATACTGAAGACTAGTCTTACATCTTCATCAGTAAGTACTTTAAGTCTCCTTCACTTCTAGCAGGCAAGGTTGTGTTATCTACATATCAAAAGTTGTTAATGAATCTTCTTCCAATCCTTTATATGGTCCAGTTTCTCAAACTGTTTGCTCAGAATACAGATTTAATAAGTATGATAAAAGGATACAGTCCTGGTGTACACCTTTCCTGATTTAAATACTTCCTTATGTTCTTGTGACTACCTTATGGTCTACTTACAGGCTCTTCATGAGCACACTTACATGTTTTGGAATTTCCGTACTGTTCATAGTTTGCTGTGATCCACACAGTCTAATGCTTTTGCATAGTAAGCACAAGTAAACATCTTTCTGCTATTCTCTGTTTTCCGCCAAGATCCATCTGATGTCAGCAGTGATATCTACCATTCTATGTCCTCTTCTGAATCCCACTTGAATTTCTGGTAGCTCCTTATCAGTGTACTGCTGCAACATTTTTGTGTTATCTTCAGAAAAATTTTACTTGCTATGTGATATTAATGATATTGTTTGATCATTTCCTCTTTTCCTTGGGTCACCTGTCTTTGAAATGGGCACAGATAAGGTTCGTATCTTCCCATTGGTTGACTAAGTTAGCTGTTTTCCAAATTCTTGGCATAGACAAGTGAGTGCCTTCATTGCTGCATCAGTTTGTTGAAACGTTTCAATTTGTATTCCTGGAACATTGTTTTTCATCAATGCCTTCACTGCAGCTTGGACTTCTTCCTTTAATACTGTTGATTCTTAATCATATGCTACCTTTTGAAATGACTGAATACTGATCAACTCTTTTTGGTACAGTGACTGTGTATTCCTTCCATTTTTTTTTTTTAATGGCTTCTGCATCATTTAATATGTTGCCCATTGTTAAGTGTTATTGAGTTGGTTCTAACTCATAGCAACTCTGCTGTATAGAGTTTCTGAGGTTGTAAATCTTTGTGGGAGCAGAAAGCTTCATCTTAATCCTGTGGAGCGGATGGTGGCCTGAAACTACTGCCCTTGTGGTTTGCAGTCCAGTGCTTATTCTACAGAGCCAACATGCTTCCAGTTTGCCATAGAATACTTTAATATTGCAACTTGAACACTGAATTTATTCTTTAGCTCTTTCAGCTTGAGAAAACCTTTTTGGTTTTCTAACTATAGGTCTTTGCACATTTCATTACAATATTTTACTTTGTCTTCTTGAGATGCCCTTTGAAATTTTCTGTTCAGCTCTTTTACTTCATTCCTTCCAGTCACTTTAGTTTCTTTACATTCAAGATCAAATATCGGTGAGTGTATTCTGACATCCATATTGGTCTTTTGTTTCTTTCCTGTCTTTTTAATGACGGTTTGCTTGATGTCATTCCACAACTACTCTGAAGTTTGGCCATTAGTGTCTAATACATCAAATCTGTTCTTGAGATGGTCTCTAAATTCAGGTGGGATATAGTCATGGTCATGTTTCAACTCTCATTGAGTTGTTTCAATTTTCTTTAGCTTCAGCCTGAAGTTGGATATGGCCTTGTATTGGCTGATGGTAAATTGAGCTGCTCCGCTATCTCTTTTCATAGGTGTAGTCAGTTTGATTCTTTAATTTGGGAGGCTAGAAGTCTGAATTTAGGGTGCCAGCTCTGGGGGATGGTCCTTGTGTCTTTTCAACTTCTGCTCCTCGGTTCCTTGGTGAGCTTTAACTGTCTTTGTTCTGTGTTCTTCCTTGCACCTGTGCTTAATTTGCTCCTTTTACATCTTGAAGACACATCTTACACTGATATGACCTCATTAGCATGACAAAGAAACCCCTATTCTCAAATGGGATTACATCTACAAGTATAAAATTAGGATTTACAGTACGGATTTTGAGGGGCAAAATTCAATCCATAACAATGTGTGAGCTGACACTTGAAGGACAGATAAGACGAGGTGCAGGGGGCAGCTAAATAGGGGGCAGCCCACCGAGGACTCTTCATTGTGTTCACTGTTAGCCCGAACCCAACTAAAAGTGTAAGTGATCCAGGATTGCCCCTCTGGTGTGAGTGACCAACATGCCCCACTGATAGAGGGTGACTACAAAGGTGGCAGATGGAGTCATTAGGGGTAGGAGACAGGAGATATTTGAGACCTTAGGGAAGAAATGCTTTGTGCTTATATGACCTGGCTGAGTTGCAACCAAAGTAGAGGGTAGGCAGTGGAGGACCAAGAGTGTGAAATGGATCGGCAATGTGGTGATGAAGTTGTCCTGTTGGGGAGAAAGAGGGGAGCCAGGTGCAGAAAATACTAAGTAAAGGAGGAGTGGGTCCCGCCCGACATAGAGCTTGTAACCAGGTGAAAGTCTCCAGTGGAGAGGTAAAGTGGCCTGATGGACTGGAGGCCACATTTTAGATAGAAGCTTTTCTCCTTCAGACACCAGGAGAACGGCAGAGTCTGAACTGGGTGGGGGAAGTGAGGGGCAGGGAAATGTCAGAAGGAACTCAGAGTCACATTAATATGATGAAGCAGGAGGGAGTGGGGAAAATACTGCAGGAGTCTTTGTACCCCACAAGGAAACCCACACCCATCCAGGCCCTGGTGGAATGACTTGAATGAAGGTCTGAGTTGAACTAGAAAGCCCATCGAGGGAAGAGACGGTACAGAGACATGGGCTATCAAAATGGAAGGAGTTGTCCTGTGGAGAATCTAGCTGGGCAAATCCAATTCCCTCAGGTGTAATCAGGTGGAACATGCATCCAGGCAGCTGAGCCTCCACTGCCGTGTTGATAAGACTTCTGGGTATGTGGTTACTTCCATAGCTCTTCCTCTTAGCCTTGAGTGCTTTCCCTGGCTTATGAGGCAGTCCCCCCACCCCCACCCCCGCCCCTTAGTATGAGGAGTCTCTTCTCCCTCTTTTTTCATCTTTAATTTTGCTGTCTTTCTCCTGGTATCTTATCAAAGGCCACAGTACTTCAATGGAGGTTTCAGTGAGAGCCCTGGTCTTGCTAACCCTAAGACACCCAGCACTTTAAATAATGTCCCACCCTCAGGAGGAAGTTTGGATCTGGTCAAACACCAGCCTTTTCTATTTTGTGTCCCCAAGAGCTAGGAGACAGGAAGGGGACAGATTGCCGTAATGAGGTTTTGAACTTTCTGGGGACCACTCTCACACCTTTTCCATACCTGATATGTGGAAAGCCCTTCCCAGTCTCTTTGTGGGTTGGTGAGTCTTTTGAACAAAGAGATTCTCTTTCTCTCCAGGCAGCAGAAGAAAGGCAGTCTGAGGTGATGGAAATGGAATATACACAGTGTGTTCTCTGCTTTTCTCACAGGTGTTATACAGACTTGATGCACCAATATTCCCCGTTGGCATAGCCCCAAGCTCAGGCCTTGGCTTTTGCCGTAGGAACTGTTAGGTCCTAATCACTTAGAAGTTTGAAGACCTTGTTTGACCTTGTCAGCTTTAGGCCAACCCTCTGCTGGGAACCTGTAGAGGACCTCTCCCCTCTCTGAGCAGGTGAGTCCTAAGTCCTCACCACCCAGCTTCCAACCTGATACCCCATCCATGTGAGGGACCAGTCACTGGATCAAGAGAGGACTCGTTGGCCTCAGCACTGTCCAGTCCAGCCCAGGGAAAGTGTTCATCAGCCTCCAGCCCTGGAGAAGGGGCAGCTCCACTTCACACATGGAGATAAGCCACTCTCCAAAGAAGCAGTGGTCATCCAGTGGCAGGCCAGTGGCCTACTCCAAGGACAAGGGAGACATGCGCTGGTATCAGATTCCGCTCTCATCCACCCGAAAACCTGTCTCAGGCATCTTTAGCAACCGCTTCCAGACCAGCCTGCAGGAGTACCAGCAGCTGAGGAGGATGAAGAGGATGAAGATTGGCAAACCCTTCTTCTGCCTTCCTACTCCTGCCCCCAGTCAGGGGCAGCCTCATGAGGGTGCCTGGGCACTGGTGAGTGGAGGAATTGGTGGGCTTTGGTGGCACATCCCTGGAAATCCAACAGGAGGGAAGGTGTCGGTGCCATTATCTCCTTGGCCCCCTTGAGCTTCTAACTTTGCTCTTCTGGTGCTTGAATAAGCATATGTTAAACATTATTTAATCAATTGTAAGAATTATGACCATAATCCTTTATTAGTTAAGTGCCATTGAGTCAGTTCCAACCCATAGC